GGACTCAGAGACAGTTGTCCAAAAATAGAATGTTGTTTAATAACAAAAACTAAGTCGTACTTTCCAAAAATAGAAAGTAGTTAAATAACAAAAACTAAGTCGTACTTCAAAACTCACTTGACAAAAGGTATATTTCTCAAAGTAAAGTTTCAGGAGTCAAAAGGCCCAGGTTCTCACGACATGAAACATAACGAACTGACATGGGACAAAGAAACACAAGGGCTATTTATAGGTGAGGAGGATGGGCACAGGTGAAAACTATCAGGGCAGGGCCAAGCAATCCCAAGGGCGGGAAACACACAGGCAGGAAATGTGGGATCTGGAATGAGAGGGAAGGATTACTTTCAAAATAAAAACAGGAAGTGACAAGATCAAAACACAAGACTAGAGTAAAAAACATAACTTGACCTAACATAACTGTTGAGTCACAACATGCCAATGAAGTCAGGTCTACTGTAACATTGATATATAAATGAGTACTTGATCATGAATGGCAGTTCGCTGTTGTCAAAACAACTCGCAAGGTTATAAAATGATGTGTGGTTCAGTCACCCCATGATCTTGCCAATATACACAATTATTTTAAATATGCATTACATTTTATTTGATCATGTTAGAATAGTCTTTTTGGAATAGAAAACGTATTGCTTTAACTTATCATTATGACGTTAATGTTGATTGCACGATGTAATGATGGTAGTATAATGACACCATCAGCGTTTCAATTGGTTTAATTTAAGCCTCAGGTTCACTTTACAATTTTATATGCCTAATGGTCATGATGTTCCTTTCACAGTAAGCTTTCATTGTGAGAGTCAAAGACAGAGAGAGCCTTTTGCTTAAAGGTAACTCAACAATATAGCTTACATTAGATATCCCCAGGTAGCAGAACAGTGGGAGTAACATTAACTGTGAAAACTCAACCAGGCCAGAAATTTATGAAAATCAAGGGACAGAAAATGTTATCAAAGCGATCCAACCTCTATTATTATCCCTTCCTCCCAGTGGCGAGCCGTGACATTTATACCTAGGCCCTCTGACCTGATTTGGCTTGGCTTCCTATTTTGTATGGACATGCTTTTATTTTGAAGACGAGTTTACGCTGTTGACAGGAAGTTGTTGTTACTATGGAAACAAGGAAAGCTTCACAGCGTGCGGAACTTGTCATAAAGTCCGCGATAATAAAACACACCCATTTAGAGGGAAGATATGATTGGTCAATTGTACTGTCATTTGACATTACTCTCTCGTTCAGTTACTACAGCGGGCCCTCTGTGAATTCATAGCTGGACCACCAATCAGCTCCTGTCTTCACAGTAACTCGCAGAGAGGAGTTTCTTTCATTTAATCCTTCACATTCAAACAGAAACTGAATGGGCAGATTCGAAGGATTTATTTCTTTGGAAATGTTATTTTAAATACAATTAAATTAAGTTATTTTGGTAAATCTAATGAACATTTTTTTTTTTTCCTTTTTTTAAATAAAAGATTTTATGTTTTTAAATATTATTTTGTAGAATAACTTAGGCCTAGAGGGCCCTGACGGCTCGCCACGGCTTCCTCCTTTATTAATATTATTATTATTATTATTATTATTATACCGCTGGAATTGCTGGAAGGGAAAAATAATGGTACTGCATTAAGAATTGTTAAAACTTGTACTGTGTTTTATGTTGTTCTCAGTCATTGCTTGACCTAATTGAATGTAATATTATGCTTAAGAGTTACTAACAATGAAATTGCCTGTATGAGCACAAGGTAATAGGCAACAAATTACGTCATACTGTTTCATGTCTCTTTATGTGCAGAAGACTTGGTTCTCCCTTAGTGGGTTGTTATATTCCATTATACATTTTTTCTGTATTACTATAAATATTATTAAATATATGTGTTGTGCTTTCAGTATGTAGCATACAATATTGTTGATTTATTAAATTGCCTACAAGTTAAGAATGACAAAAATGCTGCAATTATCATTGCTGCTTTAACCACAATATTATTCTATAATCATTAACAGCAAGTACATTAATAAAAAGGAAGTCATGATAACAATGTATAAATGACTTTCATGGTGGATGTTCACTGAACTGTAAACTAAGCAGACAGAGCTGCAGCCTGCTTCAAAAGTGTCTTCCAAGATAAAGTCATTCTGAACTAAGCAGTAGCCAGTAGTTTTCCAAAAACTGCAGGACCGCAACACTTTCACCAGCAGCAGAAGAACCAGTGTCGGGGTAAAGCCGCAGTGACATTGTATGCAAAGGATAAAGTTAGACTGAATTCCCTGCAGGTTCAAGGTGAATAAGATTTGATGTTATTCCCTGGTGAGGGTTTTCATTGTTGTGTTCCTCACAGGTGTCTACACATTTATCTTCCGAGTTACTCTTTCTTTGCATATTTTCTTTAATCCCCCTGCTGATACAAGTGCTCATGTCCCAGAGGCTCCTCATAGCCTCCTCTGTGGGCATCAATCTTACTCTGTACAACTTCAGAGTTAGCTTTTTCTTCAACTTATTTTCCCCCAGAAATGCAGTTTTCATAACCACAATACTCAAAGTTACTCAAATACATACTAGCATAGTATGTTAAGGAACACTTTCATCTACCACACATACATGACAGAGATAATGGTTGTAGCACTCAACAGAGATACACGTTTTGCATGGTAATGTATGGTCTAATAGATTTTGTATCATTTGTATTTGTGCTGGCAAACCAAATTGCTCATCTCCAACACATTATGGCAGTGATTATGGACTGCAGCAATCTAATATACATAAAGAAAACAACATTGTGTCAGTATCTAATTAAATAGTTTAACAAGGGTAATAACCATAATATAGTCCAAATTACACTTTAAAAATATGATATCGCTAACCACAAGATTACAAAAACAATTAACACCTTATATCAAATGGAAATGGCCCCATAATAATGGTAATACCTTGCAACAAACACCCTAGAGACAGTGCAAAGGAGAGTCAAATCAAAAGAAAATCTCATTTGAAACGTCCCATGAGTTCCGCTCATTATTCTGTGCGCATAGACTTTGGCCTGTGAGGGCAGCCAGCGCTGGAGCAGCCACTAACTTCCAGGTGATTAATGAGGCAACTACAGCAGGGAGGTGGATGCAGCAGAAGCTCCACAGAACTCCCAAGAAGCTGATGGGACAGCAGGACACCATGACGATGCCAAAGCACCCTGAGGAGTCTGCTTACTTGAGAGAGTAGCAGCAATTAAAGCAAATTAGATAAAAGCTGCTAAGCTAAGTGCATGCAACTTACCAATCTGTTTCTGATGTGAGTCATGTGAAATTTAAAAACAGACAAGGGCGGAACCTTTTACATTGCCACCTGTTTGGTTTGTTTTTCACAAAATGTCATCTTACATCAGTTATTTATAACAAAATACATGTTTGTGTTTTTTATTTAACTGGTGCTACAGCTAGATCATTTGCAGTCATGTACTTTTTAAAGCCAATGAAGAATACAGTTACAGTTTGAAGGGATGTAATATTCTAAGGGAGCTATATGAATGTTGAGAGTAAAACATAAAGGATGGAAGACTACTTTCAAAGTTTTTATGACATTACATTTAACCTACTTAGATGTTACTTTGATATTTAATAAAAATACATAATTTTTTTAAAGAAATATACGACCTTATGATTCTTGCATCATGCGTTCAACTCAGCCTTCATTTGGTATTCACTACATAAAGAGTATGAAGGTAAAGCATAATTGCCCCCTTTCAAACATTCAGAATCTTGCCATTATAAAGCTAAAATACTTTCTGAGTTGTTTTATGAAATAGTTTAAAAGGACTGGACCACCTGTACAGTTTAAAACTTCCTGTACTAGCATCACAGGAAGTAACCTTGAAATATCTTCTCCACAAATAATAAGCAGGAAGCATGGGCTGGACTTGAAGTGGCAAAGCAATGAATCAATGTGAACAGCCACCTGGAGGTTTTACCACAGAAAGTTCAATGCAAGCTTGTTTTAACAAGACAGTGAGTTCCAGGGCAACCGGAAAAGCACAGAGGTCTTGTAACCCACTTGTGTCTTAAACCGATTAACCTAAGTGTTTATTACTAGAGCAAATGAGGCCCATTACCTAAATACTGTGTGAAGTAGTAATGTAATAAACAATCTCACCAGAACACAAGTGCCACGCAATGCTCACACAAGAGCCCCCAGCAACTTATCTAAGTAACACAGCAAGGAACATAACGTGGCTGCTAATAAAAAAAGAAACGTGACAATTTGACTTTTATAAAATGTTTAAAGAGAGAGGAATTAGCATACACTAGACTTGACTTGGCAGTAACTTACTTCCAACACAACCAAAAGCATGATACACAGAGAGTTAAGTAGAAATAAGAAAGACTATAAATCTAATGTAGAACACTGCCATACATTGATCTGCTGCGAGACCGGTTTAAATATAATGATATAACGTGTTTTTGCTTCATTTAAGCTGTTTCTGTTTTAGCGCGTGCAAACTTCTTCCTAGCAGCCTTCAAAAATATGACCAGTATAAAAGTTGGGATTTAATAGGCTCAGCAGAAACAAAGCACAATAAATTACATTTTAATTGATTGCTGTAAACCTTTTGTTTTACCAAATGTGACACGCTCAGTTTAGCACTGGCTTTTTTACAACTGCATTTCACTGGTCGTAATATGAGGTATTTGATTTGAAGTGGCCGCTTCATATATTATGATGACAAATATAACATCAGGTGGGATCAGGTTCAGAGCCCATGAGGAAATGCTGATCTTTTAAAAGATAAATTACTTTTGTATTTTTCTGCTTCAACATTTTCTAAAGATGGTTGCCCCTTTGACGCATTTGACAAGGTAGTGACTATAGAACTGAGATTCAGATACATCGAAAAACTGATTAGCTATCTGTTATTCACATATAAGGGATCAAAGCTGTATCAGCATTCAATTTATGGTTTCATGGTCACATTCAAGCAACTGAATAAGAGCTGCTTACCAGAGGATCCTGTGTCACAGATGCATTTAAAGGATGCAGGCGATCCTTGAACGCATGTCCCATTTTCACAAATTCTGTCACAGCTTTCTTTTCCAATGACTTCGGAGCAGTTCACCCCTAAAACAAATGGCAAGTTAGTTACGACAACACAGGAACACACATACAGGTATAGACATATAGAGATGTAGATAAAGATATGCCTGGGTCATGAAGTTCATGGGGATGCAAATAAGCTATAGCTGATGCTATTTATTAGAAAATCTGATTGAAAAACAAAAAATTAAATGAGAGCTATAGATGATATTGCTGCAGAGAGAGTATGTTGGCAGCAAAGAGACTAAGAAAGTTGCCATTTGGAATGCAAGCTGTTTTAATATTAATTCTGTTTGCGTTGTGTTTGGGGTCATGCTGAATGACATCAACTTGACGAAGAAATATTTGATTGAAAAGTCTGCTCAGTGTTTCCCCTAGGTTTACTGCTTTGGGGGGGTGCTGTCTGAGCCGGGGGGGGGGGGGGGGATTAATGCATCAGTGTTTCAGGGGGGGCTTGGGGCTCTGTTGGCGGGGCGCAGCGCCCCTCCAAGACAATGGTAGGGGAAACACTGCTGCTTGTGTTACAAAGTAAGCTATTTTCTATATAATTTCTGTTAGACACATCTAACTGTCAAATGCATCAACCAGATTATACAACGTTTAAAAATGACGTAGGGTAACTCTAAAATAATCTATGATTTCAAGCAATTTCATAGCAAAATATATGTAAAAATAACGAGGGGGAAGTGAATTATCAGCTGTTTTTTAATCTAATTCAAAGAAGTTAAGAGAGCTCAAGAGGTATTATCAGTTGGTTTTGTCCTTACCTGTAAAATGTGGAGGACACAGACATGTATATGTTCTGTGGTTTGGATCTGTGGATCCATTGCTCAAACAGACTCCTTTGTTTTCACACGGGTTATCCAAACAGGCATCAGACTTTTCACAAAAACTCCCAGAGTAGTGGTGGTGGCATCGACAGCGGTACACACCATCCCAGAGGCCTGTTTGACAAACACCGCTCCCCGAACAAAGCCGAAGCAGAGGAGAACCCTGACAAAGTTGCATTTTAACAGACACGTTGAGCCGTAGGCCAAGCTTGCACAGCTGCGTTTCCCCCTCATGCAGAGCGATGAAGTAATGATGACCCGGGACCAGCCACTTGGCCTCGACTTGCTTCGTTCCATTTATAGTGTGGGGGAAAATAAACTGGTCTTTTATTTGTCCATTCGTTGAACAACTCTCAAATTCATCCTTTGACACATTGAGGAGTGTGAAGCCGTATGACTTCAGTGTTTCATCAGCAGACATCAGCAGTTTGTCTCCATGTTGCAGCTGAAGTGGGCAGATCTGTGGGAAGCTGTAAGCTGTAGTTGACTCCTCTCCCCCCGGAGAATTCCAACACTCAGAAACGCTCCTACAGATGTTTCCTACGAGGGTCCAATTGACTTGGATTGCGTGTTGTTTAGGGTGCCATTCAAGTGAAGCTTGTCTGTTGCAAACCGCTTGGCATTGGATCACGTGGACGGCCACAAAGACGGCTATCAAGTGAAGCAACGATGGACCCATGTTTCAAAGTCTTTCTATTTAATGCAATTCAACCTGGGACTCTGAATTCTCCTGTCATCTGGAGAATGGATGAGGTAGATGTAATGTATGGTACTCCATGAGATGTTGTACAAGAATTGCACATGATGGTAATAACCTGAGGAAAACAAAGATTGTGATTAATGAAAAGGAAGTTGATTTTTACATAATGTTTTCTCTAATATTCTGTTATTTTCCACAACTTGAAACTTGATGAAAGCAAAACCACCCTCACAAACAATTTTTTTATTGTAACACCAAGATTTCACTCCTTTCAATTCGACTTTTGACTTCGGCAAGTGTAGCAGAGCTGTCATAATCATATGCAGTGCTGCTGACCACCAAGTGTGTCACAGCGTCCTCAGCCTCCTTGAGGTTTCTACAGAGACTGACAATGTCAGATAAAATATTCTCTCTTCGCTGCCGGTGCCTGATACCTCAGTGTCACGCAGAGAGATGAGTTTAAGCAGACAGCATTGTCTTTCTCCCTCAGGCCCTTTTCATCCGTGTACACAAGATAATACAACAAAGTAGAGAAGGCTCCCTGCAAGACAGAAACTCTGCTCCTTGATCAGCTCACAAGGGCTGATATGAATAACTGCATGGTGATAAGTAAGAAAATGTTGAATATGGAACACCAATATCAGTAAAAGGGGGAGTGATGAAGTCAATGAGATGCAAGTATTGCCATGAAGAAGTGTCGGCACCCAGACGACCTTGTTTACACAAGAAGAGAATTTGACTATTATGTTTCACTGAACAAATCGGAAAGCTCACACCTGATTTCTGAGGAAAAACATAATTCAAATTCAAATTAAGAGGAGAAAATGTGTGTTTGTTTTTTGTATGTACTAATATATTCAATTAATTATTAGGAGCAATGCGAAAGTTATTTGTTCATCTTTTGTTTTACCTTACTTTCATTTCAAACTGCTTTAAACACAATTTGTTACATTAACGTTATTAACAATGAGTAAAATGACTATTTTCAGAATCAAGTTCATTGCCAGGTACGTTTACACATACAAGGAATTTGCTTTGGTGTATGGTGTATGGTTTTATGTGGAATGACTCACTTGCTTGCTTGTTTACTTTTACAGTAAAGTCAATCAGGGAAGAGCAACGTAACACTGTACATGAAGAGTTGCTCAGACTCTGTACATCAAAGGGGAAAAATCCGCCAGGCTGGTGGATCAACCTGCTGCATTTCTTTATTCTTTCACCTATTCAGTTTTTGAAATAATGTGATCCAAATATAGTCAATACAGTACTGGTGATTATGAGAGAGAAAACGTAATTATATACAAAGCACCTTAATATGATTTTTTAAACTTTCATGAGTAGATTTGCAAATGTAAGTTGTATTTAACCTCATTTTGAAACCAGAGGAAAATATCCATTCAATATAGCTGAAACTAAGTTAATGTTCCACATTTCACAGAACAGTCTCTCATATTATTTTATGTTAGAGTTTGCCAACCAAAGACAACCTTCCATCAGCTCTGGAGATATATTAGATATTAGTAAAAATAAAACAGCTCAATGCCACTGCATTAAAACAAAACAAAGGCAATTAGACTAATCTATTTATTCTGAAATGTGTCCATAATACGAAATAAAAAGCAACTCAAAAGAACATAACCAACCCCACAGCCAGGGTGGAATTATGTGTTCCTAAACTCTGCCTTCAATACATAAAAATAAGGCAACTCCTGCCACTCAGGATACACATATTATAGTTATTTCAGACAACACAAAACCTCCCTATTTAACATGCACATATCTAGCAGTATTAGCTGCCTAGCATTAATTTAAGTTCTGCTCTATGTTCACCACACTTTGCTGATGTTAGAATGTTAATAAAAGAGAAACACAACTCCAAATGAATGCCAATGTTTCTCCATATCTGCTTGGCGTGTAAATAAGCAACCCAACATTTTCATCAACAGTTTGATGCGCTGCCCCAAAGTATCATATACAGGTTTAACCAGGGGCGGACTGGCCATCGGGACGAATCCCGATGGGCCGGTACTGAAGTGTGCCGGTCGGACGATGTGGACCGGTCGGATAAGTCGGATAAGTCTATCACCCCCACCCCATCCCCCCAGTTGACAATTTACGAGCGGTATATACTTGCGGTACCCAGGTAGGCTGCCGGTACTGAAGTGGGCTGGTCGAGAGTCCCGGGCTGATTTGTAGTCCCAGTCCGCCACTGGGTTTAACCCAGAAACCCTCCTTTAGATTCAAACCAGTATCTAACTCAATGTCCAAGCAATAAAGACAAGTTATAACTAAAAAAATGATAAATATCTCATAGGATCAAAATCAATCAGAAATGTGACTAAAACACCATACATTTGTCAAAAAATATATTACTAAAACTATTAAATAATTGAATAAGAATAACATCTTATTATAATATGCCCATAAAAAAAATTACTACCAGACAATTCTGCAGCTAATGGTAGCATTTTGTGGCAGTAATGTTGAATGACACCATCACCAGCAATGCATCTAGACAGGAGGCAGTGGTACTGGTAGTAGTTGCCACAATTCAATAATGTTATGATGGAATATGACCTTTTCTATTAACCATATAAGACCTTGGTCACCATGACGGAGATCCTGTCTCACCGAGATCTGTAATCCAAAACTGGAGCAGAGAGACAGCTGGGATAAAACCATCTTATATCACCACGCATGTGACAGCTAACTGGCAACATCAACAAGCAGCATGAGTAATGGATGGATGCAAGAAGAAACACTGTAGCCAAGGATGAAACATGTGGAGGAAATACTGCCATTTTTTCCAGACCCAAATGTCCACAGATTTGCAGTAAAGCCTCACACATGCAAAGCTTAGTGGTTTAAATTCTAGTCAATACATTTGATCCCAATATTGATTTTTCACCACCTCTAATACAATTAGTTTCAGTACAATCCTAAATGATATACCTAGAGGCTGTTTTGGCTCCACACAGTTTGCATGATGAATGCAATTTGGACCCTAAAAGCACATTCATCCTTCTTAATTGTGCCGCAGTTCAAATTAATTTAATCTGAATCTTATTCAATACTAATTCATACCATTACAGCAATCTATACTCTTGGCCTCTCCTCAGATAAACAGGCCAAAAGATTTTCTGGGATATTAAGATGCCTTATTGATCTATTAGGATTAAACTGTGGGTCCCTCGCTCGAGTGGTTCAAGTAATAAGGGCCGTGGGGTCAGAAGCAAGGTCTTATTGTGGGGGGGGGGTCAACTAATTGTCTCACACAACCTACTGCTTTTATTATAGCTCAGGTTCACCTACATTTTAGGATGCCAATCACGCATGGTGCAGAGGGCAATGGATCAAGGGAGCTGTGTAAATCCTAGTTTGACAGATTACACCAAAAGGACATGACAAATGATCACATCAAACTGCTATGCCTGCATGTCATTCTACAACATATGGGCTGCACTACTATAATATTTGCTCCATTCATCAATTAGGCGATGAACAGGAAGCGAATCATTGTTTCAGTTTGGTAATTGGATCAGTGTCTAAAATGTGAATACATACTCGTTTTTTTCATCAAACCTGGCTAAAAATAATGTGGCTGACTATTAATATTGAGTGAAGGCAAATTATAACATCATGTTAAAGATGTGGTTAAATGTAATCTTGTAAACTGTTGTTTATCTGTCAAAACTTGATTGAAATAAGTTGTTTGAAGGTGAAGTTGTCACAGCAAGATAATATATATATCATTCAGGCCATTGTGACCTGTTCAACTTCATAACATTACTGTAGCTTTAAGCAGCTTATAATAATAATAATAATAATAATAGCTTGGATTTATATAGCGCCTTTCATGGGACCCAAGGTCGCTTTACAAAGAACAACAGGAATAAAAACAAACAAACAAAAACAAAAGGCAGTCAGACAAACAGTCAGACTGATATGATGGATAATATTTTGTTATAATCAAAGCAAATATGTCCTTTAGTTGTTTTCCTTGGTATAGAAAATGATTTTCCATAATCATGAAATGTACAGATTTGACATTGATCATTGAATTTCTGTTAATTGGGAGTTGGGTGCGCTATTTCTCACTACACTATGACAATTCATCTTTTAATTATGAAAAGGATCAGCAGATAAAAAATAACTGCTTGCAGAATAATAGGTTATTTCACATAACAATGCATACAGAATACAGATTAATGATACACTAGGCCACATCTCAAAACATTAAGTAACTTAGCATATAATGAGAAAAATGACTTTAGATTTTAGAACACAAGTAGAAAAGTTTGACTCATTAAGCCAATGTAGAGATGGTATTGAAGATGTTAGCTAGTGAGTGAAGCACAACTGTAGTTACAGTATAATGGCACTGACGCAGGTATAAGGAGACCCAGGTGTACATTGAGGAAAACACTGTTGAGATAAAGCCTCCTTGTGCATGGTAATCTCTCATGATAATTTCCTTGATTCAGAACTTTTGAGATCCTGACAGCTGCAGTCACTGAACGTTGTTAGTGTATCGTTTGCCTGCTCAAGGATAGGGGATGACTTCTCGAAAGATTATATTGGTGCACGTCAAATTAAATAGAATAACTTTAACAATTCAATTTGTAAGCTTTCTACACTGAAGAAATATACTGCATTCCTGTTTTGTATACTATTCCTCAAGAACATCAACAATAAATGGCCCTTTACAAATCTCTTCACCTCCATCAAGTTCATGAAATGATTGAATCAGAAAGTGAAAGCATACAGTATATCCCTCGTGCTATCACTACATGAGGTATGAGACAAACAGACTTTATGATGGCCATTACAAAGTCCATGGTCTTTTTTTCTTTTTTTTTAAAAATCTCACCAATAAATTGGCAGAGAAGAAGAATCATTTCTCACCAGCGTGCCAATTCATTCTAAAAGCCATGTCCCTTCATTGTGACAAATAAAACCATCCTTTGGAAAGTTATACGCCTGAAAACATCTCAAAGTAAAAACAGGCTTTAAATCAACTGGCACAGAACTCATTCCTCTGTCCATTCACCGTTGAGAAGCCTATTTCTGACAACACTGACCGCGGTGATGGATTGGTAGATGCTGTCACATTTCCGAGTAGGTTACGGGAGAATGAGGTCAACTACAATCATCATTAAGTGTTTTGGGAATAAAAGCAGGTTTCTGAACACATTTACAAACTATTTCAGTTCCAAGATTGATGTGGGACCAGAAACATTATCACTACTTGGTCATGTGAAACATAATACAGTTACTCTGATATCCTGCAGCTAAGCTTCAAAACCTCTAAAAATTGGTTTAGTTTTCCATGTTCAATCCCCAGCGGGACGCCACCGAACAGAACTGAGCTATTGATGTGAGTGCTGAGCCACTGGAGGACTGGCAAGCCAAACTGCAGCAGGCTGCTGGTCACAGACTGGTGCTCCCTGGGTAGCTATCTGCATCAACACTAATCAGTTAGAACACTGATGAGCACCCCTGCCCTGCAACCCTGAAAACCAACGCCACATCAATTTTCTCATTCTAAATGCTCAGTAATTGAAGCCAATGGAATAACCAAATTCGGCACAAAAATATCCGTATCATTTGTGAGCAGCTTCTAATTTACTGTGTTGTGGCAAAAAGAGAATGATATCTCAGAATGGTTACTAAAACAAGTTATGGTTAACATTGGCACATTTACCTCCAGAAATATACAGTTATTTGTTCTTTCTTTTATATAATCCCAAGGAGCATTTAAAACTGCAACTGTGGGAAGTTTCATACACTGTAATACCTCAAAGAGGTTATAACCGTGGGTTAAATTAGGCCAGAGCCAGCAGCAGCACAGATTCACCAGCGTGACTTCACCTCTATGAATTGCTCATTTTTATTTGGGGCTATACCTTCATCAGTCACCAGCCCCCCCTGTAGTATAGACTGCAGTGTTTCCTGTTTATTTGGTGCCCTGGAGGAAAACCTCAATAAAGCAAGGTTGTGCGTCTTTGTTTGTTTGTAACACTTGTACAGTGCTTGGGGGAATTGTGGTATAACCTATTTCAGCCACACAGAGCCCTTTATGAAAGAAATACTGCAGGTCTACGGTGCAGCATCGTCCCTTAATCATTAGCCACTGCTAGATTAGCATTAGGATTTTCTCACTCTAGTGAATAGGACAATGTCTGAATTAAAAAGTTTCATTTAATTTGTCTTTATGTTCACCAACACTGAGCAAGCTGCTCCTGGGTGTAAACAGGTGTTGTTGTTTGAGTTACAGAAGTTCCTCTCACTTCAATCAAGGAAAACACAACACCAAACCCCCACCCCTTCTCTTGGAAAGCTCTAGTGTGCTCACACAGAACATAATCAGTCCTCTTTTGTTAAGACTTTGCACTTATTTTTCTCTAATATGAACCACAGCTCAACACAAGCCAACACCGGCTGAATCTGAGAATATCACTATGTTTACCAGGTGAGAATAAAGCCACATGATAATAAAAATACATCAACATTTCGTCAGATTGTAATCGTATTTGGTGTAAGGTTTGGTCACCAAACTAAGATGACTACAGTTACTGTGTTACACATGTTAAAACATTTAAAATACAAATAAAAACACTGTGGATAGAGTATCTTTGTGGATTGTTGGAGAACTGTTTGTGATTTACTATTTCCCCTTTATTTATAGCTACTGCTGGATTGATAAGATTTCAGTTCTACGTTCAGTCCTAATACAAATCCCCAAATAGAAAAACCTAAATAAAGAAGTTCAAAAAAATGATTGTGAAAAAGTAGGGCATGTTTTAATGTGGTGCAGTAATGGCATCATTTGTGTGATACAAATATGCAGAGTTTGATTGTTGATCACTTCTGGCAGTATAGGAGGAGGCCGTTGTATTCTGTCACTCACTGAGGACTTTATAGCCACCACTTAAGTTATGTATGTGTCTTTTGATGTTATGTTTGAGCTTCTGTGTTACTGAACAGTACAAGATAGTCAGTTCAACTACAGGTTACATCATACCAGGTTCAGAATGGTCTAAACAGGTACATCTATACTAGCCATTGTAAGAGAGTCCACCTGCTGTGGCCTGTCTGTTATAGTGAGGGTGAAGATAAACAGAGGCTTGCCAGCACTGCTGCATCTCACACATTTTAAAGCTGAAGCAAGCCTGCAGCCAAGGGGTTTGTACTAAACAAGAGCTTAGCATTAAACTGAGCCGACGCGTCTCTCTGCCCCCATTCTGCAAGGCCCCGGATTTACCACTACTGTATGGCCGGTAATCTGACTAGTAGGGTGCTCACATGGACCATCTGCCACGGCGTGCTGCTCCGTACAAGCACGTCTCTGCTGACTGACAGCTAATTGAGGTTACATCATGTGTGCCGGTAGGGTGCATGCTCACCATTAAGTTGAAAAGCTGGTCCGCCCTGGGACGGCGACTCGTAACAGCATTTTGGAGTTTCTTATCAGAGCTGAGAAGTGTCTCTCTCTGGGGGATGTGACAGCTGAGCCGGTGTATGCGCGCTCAGGACGAGACATGTTGCTGAGGTAATGTGATCAGACGCTGAGAGAGGGCTGAGCTGAAGGCGTGCCCGCGAGCCCCCGCCTGCAGAAGGTCCTTTGGGGCAGGGGGGGGGGGAGTGTGCTACAGCCTGCCTGATTGATTATTTAATTAGTCCTAACTAAATATGCATTAGCCAAGCAAAGTCATTATCGTGTGTAAACAACTGAAGCTCTCCTAGGGAAGGAAAAATATTGTATAGGGTAGCCTACCTGAGGGGTGAAATGAAGAACTACAAAAACTGCCCTGACTGTCCTATAAGTAATAATGGATCAAAGTAAACACTAAGAACCAACACATGTTCAAACACTTCAATACATTGAATTAGTGGCTATTCAAATAGCAAATAAATACACATTACTGTAATACCTTGCCCTGCAGTGAATATGCTTTGATTGAGAATTAAATGGAGACTACATTATCGGTAATGCTGCCATTCAGACACTTGAATACTTTAGGATATATTTTTGTCAATTTCAGAGTAGGGCTTAAGGAGGGACCTGCTTAAATGCATTAATAAAGAGGGTAAATGCAGGTAGGCTATCTGAATGATAGTTTGAGTTTTACATTTGTTTTTTGAACATAGAAACATGTAAACATGATATTTTACTGGAAATCCATAATACAAGTATGAACATGAAAATGTCCTTTTTAATATTTGTGTAAATTCACAGTTCACTTCTTCTTTACTTCCTCTTCCTCCTACACAGGCAGCGAGAGTCTGATACCATAATAGTATTGCATTTAATTTATACCATATTTAATGTTTATCTGCCCAAAGAATGTTTTGGCAGCTTGTGAACAATGCTTTTGTTGCAATGACCTACATCCCTTTCACTGCACAGCTACATTTGCACCAGGGAGCTTCATTGCAATCAGTCTTGTACTGCGTGTTGCCAAGCAACAGTATAAGTAAGAGGTTAAGTGCCTTGCTCCAGGGCTATTCGGTGGTAGTTGCTGAGGGAGGGGAGAGTGTTGGCCATTTCCATTTTAGATCCTTCCAGCTGGCCAGGGATGCCACTTGGAGACTGTACATTCATTAGCCTGTTCATCTGCCCCTAGCTAACACTGTCTCCCCAGGAAAGGAATCTAAGAAAGTCAGTTTAGTTATTCAGAGAAACGTCTTTCATCCCATCATAATTTATTTGTCCTGTCATTTGAAAGCACTGATTATCATGGGCACATGTCCGAAGCCCCGATATCATTATTTGACCCAGTTTTAGGTTTCACCAGTGGAGAAACACAGAGCGAGATGACAGATATTCTATAAAGGTCACTGGCTTGGCTTCTGTTACTTTTCTTGATTGTTTGCTCACAGTAGTATTCACACATTTCATTTTTTACAAGTGGATATTCCCCTGTGATTCGTGCTTTATACTCATTGTGTCCTCTACAAGCTTTCTCCCAAGAGAAGCTCTGCAAATAATAATCTTGTAGTCAGTTTCAAGTAACTTCAGGATCAATTTTAAGATGACTGCTCTTATCAAAATATATCAGTATGAAGCACCTGCCTGACCTTAAGATTTGACATATTCTATCTTGTATGCTTATCCTGGTGAAAGACATGTAAGTTCTCACATTTGGTTTGCTTCCCCACTGTGACTAGATTAACGAGCTGCCCTTTTGTTTGTAGCATTGGCCATATTTCCTGCAGCTTTAGGTATCTTCATTAGATGTAGAGATATTGACCTTCAGTGCTTTTACGAGGATGTATAACAGAGAAAAGCAAGCATTTATCTATATAGCTCTGCAAACTATTCTCATCATTTCATATCCTCCTATACTGTAGCAAGTCCATGGCTTGTGTTTTCTTATTGCCTTTGAGATGATATGTGAAGAATGTGTATAACATTTACTTCCTAATTCAAAATTGGTCAATTTAAAACATTGAAATATATTTTACAACCATTGCATTGAACTTGTGACTGCATCCGCCAGCCTGCATCTCTTTCTTAAAACCTCCTTATCACCAAACAAGAAATGAAAAAAACACTTTATTGTACTCCAATAAAATGTAATGCTTTCTATTAAACCAGGACATCTCTTCGAGAAGTGTTAAAACATAACTAAATGGAAACAGCTTTATTTGATCCAAACTACAGAATGTCAACATACCAAGACATCTATAAGAAGTCAGGACCATACAATGATCATATTTTAGGTTTCAAAGGTTTGATTGACATTTGGCATATATGCATGTAGAATATATGGATATTGAAAAAATAAACAGTCTCTTTAAAATTAACTTAGGAAATAACTTAAAATAATAAAGTGAAACAAACGTTAATCCGCTGAGAGTCTACCATATTCCATCAGCAGTAATTTCTGTTACAGCACCTTGCTGTAGGTTAGAAAGTCTGTTGGCTTGAAGCACTTTACAACTGTATGTGCTGACTCAACAACTTGTTAATCAAGCCCACAGTTATGCACACACAGTCAGCTGCATGGAGCCCGCTGAGAAATCCTCAGATCCCTCTTGAATATAGATATAATTAGATTGTTGCACAAGATCTTGCTGGCTGAATTATGAACTCAGGCGCACACTGTATATTCACTAAAAATAATGTTATATACACTGAAGTGCCAGCTAAACAATATGGCACTTAAATATAAAAACTAAGGTTTGGCGTTCAGATATGCAAACATTGCCATCTACATTGTGTGGCATGTTTGAAATTAGCTGAACATTTGAGCTTATCCACATGTGTAAGATATTGTAATATTCTTCTCATATTGTAAGTTATTTACTGTGTGCAAATGTACAATTACTTATCCAACGAGAGCTAAGAATGTCAAATATAAAAATAGGCCAAAAATATGAGAAATAATGATTATGCTGAAATGACAGCTGAAATGAATTACTGATTCAGAGTGAAAATGCCATGTCTTAATTGCCTCTAAACTTAAATGTTTGAGGTGATAACATTAAGACATCATATTTCATACATTTATATGTCGCAGCACTTATTCTGCCCCTGAGTTATGCGACCTTTCCCGGTCTCTTAACTGCATACAGCAGGGCTCTGGGGTAAACGCTGTTTTGCTGTATGAAGCGTATGCTCATTTTATACAAATGCAATATATTATCTTGCAGCTCCCCAAACTGACTCATAAAAAGCATATTCCCATCAGGTTTGGAGGAAGAAAACATGTACAAAATGAGTAATTGCTGCAAACAGAGGGAAATGAATCTGTGTTTGCACAGTTACGAAAATTCTTAACAACCGCATAGCAAACACATATGATCACAGATACCACAGAGGTGAGAGAGGCAATGTTGTAATGTATACAAAATATGCTGAAAAAGAGAACAATATCAGATATGAGAACAATCGAAAAACAAATGGCACTATAATTATGGCAATGCAGATACAAATTGCATCAACATGTCCTCTAAGTATCCTAACATTTACATATTATCATGTTTTTTAAATAGTAATGAATCATAGTTGTATTGGAAAACATGAATTGTGATTGCAAAGTGGGCTTTGCTGACAGATTACTCCTGGCCGAGTTGATAGAGTAGGGAGGGCGCTGGAAACAAGGACACTGCCATCTTTCCCTCTTCACCTCTGGGATTTAAATATTAAACATAAAGGATGGCAGATTATTATCCCTGTCACCTTGCCTTAAGCAATGATATTCTGTTTTGACAGGGCGATCAAGTACCTGCTGTGTCACATATTAGTGTGATTTCAGGTTCTCTGAAATGTTTATGAGGCAAGTGAATTAAGGGACAAACCACAGAGGATTGTTTCTTCAGGCTCATAAGCATTGGTTACAGTCTGAAGTAGTTAGTGTAAAGTGAGTTTAAATTACCATAATGAATTTGATTTATTCAGTAAAACAACTCTGAATTTAATTGAGGTTATTGTTCATGCAGATTTATAAAAAGTCTGAGATAGAGTCTTTGGGTCTGTCGTTTACATTTAATGTGAAATATACAATGTTAGGTAAGAGCTGTCAAGCTATTTGTATTGTCCTAATCATGATCTTTGCATAAAAGTTTGCAACAAACTTACATTTACTTTACTTAAAGTGGACCTATCATGCTATATTTGAAAAATATATTGTAGGGCCATACCTATACAAAACATGTCTGTGAAGTTTGTTTTCCCAAATACCAAACAGATCACCCATTGTAGCCATGCCTCTTACTGCTTAAACCCCTCTTTTGAAGCCCTGTTATGGCACATTTCCACTGCAGCGGGGTAGCCCCGTTTAAGCGTCCCTAAGCGTCCTCGCTCAGGCCTCGGGCTGCCTCGCTGGCCGTCCGAGGCCGTGGCGCATTTCCATTACAGTTTAGGACCTGGGGTAGCAACGCAGTGTAGGCGGGGCGATCGGCTTTTTGGGCAGAGCGATGCTGGGTAAAACTGCAGTGGCGTCATCTTCAATGCGACACAACTCACAAAACACACACAACAATGGAGGATGTGTAAGCGATCGTTTACTTGTTTCTTGGTGTGTGGCTTGTTATCACAGCAAGAAGGAAAGTGATCACAGCAAGCAGGAATGGAGAGGACTATGATGATGGGTGGAATGCACCAGCAGCAGCAGAGCCATGGGGTAGCAGTGGCTCAAGGTGCAGAGGAGGAGGGCACTGACATCAGAGAGGGTTTGATGCGCTACCTGAATACCTAAATATGCATTGTATTGTATTCATTGTATTGAACATAAATAAATCTTTTTTTTTTCATATACATGTGTTTGTCAAATGTTTTAAACAAAAATGTTATCTGAATTGAATATTTAGTAAATATTTGAATTTCAAGCACCAGTAAGTACTGCCCCATAATAAGAACATTTGAGGAAATATCAGATCATGAAAAGAAAATCTTTCTAATAAATTAAGCGAATATCAAAGCTAACTATAAACATAAATACTAAAGTGTAAAACACAGCAAAACTATATTCATAAATGCAAGTGTAAAATAGTGTGGACAATTGTAAACATGGATGGAGGCTAAAGTATCCACAA